CCTCTTGTATTATCCTGGGTGTAAAATTTAATGATTCCAGTGCATTCAATTATTGATTTATCGTTATCTATCTGTTAGGAGTTTTTAACAAACCATTATATATATATTTTCACACCCCTATTATTACAGGAATTGTCCGAAGCGAATATCGTTACTGTAGCCTTAGTAATTTAATTAATTAAAAGATTTTCAAATGTGACTAAAAAGGCTAAATTTAATATATTTACTTCATGTGGAAAAAGTCAACTAGAGGATCGGAATTCATTATATCTGGTAAATGAGGTTTAGACGAAGGTATAGACCGATTCCATTGTAATTCAATGCTAAATCACATAATTTTTTAATTTCATTAAAATATCACACATTTTTACCAATCTGAACGGTTTAAATACAGGTGGAAAGACGCAAATCATTGGGAATAGAGAAAGAGAAGGGCTGACTTCATTAATTTTGTCATTGCTCAGGTATACTCTAAAATATATTTTGATGTAATTTTATTTATAAATAATACTTACTGACCGATATATTCGGTATACAACTTGTTAGAACAACGAAAATCATTATAAATGTTAAATGAGAGTTGAGAATAGTATCGACCCGATATTATCTATATTTGCCAATACCACATACTGTGAACATGCCAACAATAAAATCCCTCCAGGGTTTTATTGAGTAAAGTCAGCCGTATGCTCGAAAATTCAGATGTAAGTTATAGGCTAAGTCAAGTTTTCACCCAATTTTATCCAATTCAGGCGCAAAGATACAATGTAGACGTTCTCTTATTTTCATTGAAATAATTCAGAATAAAAAGGACTGTGGTCCACATATGCGGTACCAAGGGGCTTGAACAGTTTTGGTTCGATTTGGACAAATTTTGGTCATAAGATGGTATACTTCAAAAGCACTATTCGTACAAAGTTTCATCTCGATACATTCATTCGTGCTTGATTTGTAACTGAAAAGAGAAAGAATCAGATGGAATTTTAAATTTTATTAAATGAGAAGTTAAATGAGTTAGCCCATTTTTGCACTGTAGCATAGGAATGTTAGAAGAATATTATGTACGGACAGACGCACGGATGAACAAACAGACATCCGGATCTCAACTCGTCTCGTCATCCTGATTTATTTATTAAAGTATCACTCCATATCTATCTCGATTATTTTTAGGTGATACAAACAACCATTAGGTTTTAAAGTATAAAGAAAAACCAATCGATCAAGGAACTAATTTTTCACGCTCACTAAAAGCTGTACAAATTTCATTGAAATCTACTGAGCGATTTTTGAGCTACAGTGCTCATCAGTTAAAAAAACAGAGTTTTTGAAAAACGCATTTAAAGTTTTGCACGAACATTCCAAAGCGCCGGAGAACCCTTTGCTAATAATTGAAAAGTATTTGTCCGATTTAATTTAATTAAAAATCGATTTTTTGAAAATTCTGACTGCCTCTAACACCTTACGGAAGTGATATATAGTGGAGTCGGTGTAATGGCAACTTTGGATTTCAAGCGTAGAATGAGACGCCCAGGTGTGATTAATGATGACTGAAGCGTTATAGAAAAGAGAGAGTGTTCACCATATTTTATTACAAAATAGAGTTTCGAGTTGTTTGAAAACAAAAGCAAATTTAGAAAACTTTTAAATATCTACTTCCCAACAGAAGTAGAACAGAATCGATCCTTTTGATATTGAATTATTTTACCGAATATAATTTTAGTTAAAGAATTTGAGAATTTGAATTGAGGGATGTAGATCGTCCTTATTTATAATTTTTCATATTAATTGTTGGAGGAAATCTATATTCTATCAGTTGCTTTGTTGTAAAAGAGATGTGTGTTAAAAAAGTGAACGAAACCAAATTTTCAAATCGTTTTCTACCCACGTGAATATAGGTATGCCATAAGAGTTAAGTATATACATTACTGTTTTCGTTTAGCATGTAAGTGAATAAAAAGTGATATCGCAGATATACGTTCCCATTTATTATTTTATAAAGTTGGATCGTTAAAAACTCATCAGGCGTTTTATAAGATCTCGCTGCTGTATAGATTCATGTATATGTTATGAGTATTTAAATGTATTACGTTGCCGTTAAACACGAACCGCCGCGGATCATTAAAGAGTATTTACGAATACGGACATATAAAAGCTTTGGTGCTCCTTTGCAGTTTATTGCAGCAGGATTTTATCGTCCTAAACGGCACTGTCATGACAGAAGATGACATCTCCGCTGAATATGAACTTAATCAAAACATTCATTTTGCGCAGAATACACTTTGAAAAGTTATTAAGTGGTGAATACTGCTGAGGCTCGCTCTGGCTAGCAGAATATGTAATGAAGCATAAGACAAAAAGGGGATTCCTCTTTAAAAGTATTTAAGTCGTTGAACCATTGGAATCAAAGGCATACAAACTAATTAAATTATATATAATCATAAAGTTATATATTTTCAAGTATTTTGTGAAAAAACAAATTCTCTTACCACATTATTTTATTCTAATCACCCCGTTCTACCCTACTATTGACAATGTCTTACTGCTCTTAATGTTTAGTAAATTGCCTGTGTACATACGTCGTAGTCTTTTTATAAGATATACTCCTACAATCATAAAAGAGAAAAATTCGTCTCTTTCCCACAAAGTTTCACGGTTGAATTGTATTTTATAGATGAATAGTTCCTCACATTACTTATAGCCTAGCCATTACTGAAATTTTTTGATAGAGTACTTTACTATTTAATTTTCATTAAATACTCATTTGACAGCGCAGATAAAACTGTAAATTCCCATCATCGTAGTCTTCTAACGAGTTTTAATAAAAATAACTAACACTTAACTTGTTTTCCATTTTTAACACAGCCACACCTCAAGCCATTTGCGATATCGAAAAAGAGTGAGTACTTCTTAAAATCTATAACTGATGAAAGCTAGAAAAAAAGAGTAATGGCGTGATAAAATGGTCATTATGGGCCAAATTTTGAAAAAAAACCAGAAGTAATAAGATGTATCTTTAAAAGATTAAAGGAATCTAAAATTTTGTATAATCCATGCATTTTTGTGTTAATTGGAAAGCTGCTTATTAGTACATTTGTGATATGGGAACAGTTAGATTCTTGATTGGATATTTTATATGAAACAAGAAAAGAAGTTAACGTCGGAGGCACCGAATCTATGAAACCCATCACAGGTGCATTTCTTATAACATGAAAGGTTATAAAAAGTCTTTTGCTCGATTAGTTTGTATGGCAGCTAGCGCAATAAACGTTTCATACAAGAACTTGATTTTAGTCATCATGATGTTAGCGGTTCCGAAAAATTATTACTTTTTTTGGGAAGGGGAGTTCGAAAAATTTTAGATATCTCAAAAACCGAGAGACTAGTTCTCCGACGTTTCCTTCTGGGTATTACAAACTTCTTGGCAAACTTAATATAACATGTTCAGAGAATAAAAAAATGTGCTTCGGTGCTTCAAAGTTTTTACCCAAGATCAACGGCCCCCTACCGGCCCCGTCTCTAATGTCTACTTATGTAAATACACGGCAAAATAACTTGAGTATAAAAACCAAAAAGTAAGCTCGAAGGTATAACACACACACGCACATTTTAATGGCACACTCTGATCTGAGCTTATGTTTTCAGTTCTTCCTTTTTTAGTGCACACTTTTCACTTCTGCCATTCACCCGCATCCTTTGCACACATCGTCACCAGTGCTTTGCCGCCAGCAAACATAATTAAATATGTCATATTATACAAATCTGCGTAACTAAAGCAGTCAAGAGACTGTGCTGTGTAGTATTGAGTTTTACTTATATATTTACATATAACTATACATATGAGTATGTAACTGTATTTAGCATTTGTGCTATCTTGTCCAAGAACTTGCCGCAGTCTTGTGGAAATAGTATATTGCAAAATGTTGCTTAACAACTATCAGCGCTATAATTCTTATGATGCCTCAGTGGTAAGTGCTACAAGTAAGAAATATAGTGAATACTCATGATTATTGTGGAACATAATGTTGGACTAAGTTCAGGATCATCAATTTCGTAATGGGATCTAAAACTCAGACTTTTTCGAACCATAATAATACAAGCGTGCTTTCATTTATAAGGCTGAGTGTGCTTAGAAAATAAGCCACGCCTTTTTTATTTCTTCTCAGTTTGAGCTAGAAATGGACACCGCATTGTTTAAAGGTAATAAATTGATGTCAATTTCGATTGAAATTGTAGCCCCACTGATCTTTATTTCCAAGACAATATTTCTATGAATGCTATTTGATCCAACGGTGAGCGCCACAGGGTTACAATAAATGAGTTTAACTTCAAAAAGTGAGGATATATTTTTATCAAGCTAATATCAAGAAAGCCAGTCATGAGGTTGAGACAAACACAGTAATATATCTTATGAAAAATTTGGTTAACTCTAATCCAAGTCGCCTACTGAATTAAATCGTCTTATGTGTTTCATCGAAAAAATCTAAGAACCGCCTTCTCCATCTCGACTTTGCTAAGTTAAGCTATATTTTGGCTGATTTTCACCGTCCTGAGTACTTTAAGTCTAGAATTAACTTACTTCTTTGTTAACTTATTCTGGTCTTGCAATACAGAAAAATCACTTTTTCTACAGCTGAAACTTAGCAATCCTGGTATAATATCAATACCCGGTTTCATTTATGTAAAAAGAGTAAATTTTATGTGTAGACTTAGAAAAAAAAAGTAATTTTGATTTAGTTATCGCAAACTTTTAACTTAGCTATAGCTTTAGTCTAGATGAAAAAACTGACCCATAATAGTTTTAACGTTTCGAAATTTTTGGAGTGATACCAATGTGTTCACGGTCATGTATCTCTGCTTTCTCATCCATAACTCTAACTATGCATGTAAATAAATATAGTCGCTGGAGCAAAAACTAATACACTCATTTACAGTTAGTAATTATATATTTGTCTATATATATATGTATATATTTATGAAATAAATTTATAACTTGAACTCACTTCTTACACTCGATGAACCACGTCTCCGGTTGTGATAGCTTGGAGACAATTAGTATGGGCAGCGCCGTTGCTAAGGCAATTGTCCAAACGCCTGCTATGATGAACTTTGCAAGTCTGAAAAAAGGAAGCACATAAATCGTAATAAGTAATACGTGAAAGACATTAGAAATTAGAAACACTTAATTTACCGTAAGTGTACATATATTTTTTAACTCCCAACAGTGTATTTGCAAGTTGAGTTTTTGAAGAAGAAGTATCAAGCAATTTGCTTAAATCATGTTTGCTTGAACACTTTCTTGTTTTTTATTAGGCATTGCTGATTTTTTAACTTCTTGTAAACATAATTCGATATTCAATATATATATGTAACTATATATCATATACAATTTACATATTACAATTTTGGTCCTACATCATTTGAGCTCCACACGCGGCTAAAATATTGCATTTTGTTAAGACGAAAAACAGAGGGAAAACCATACCCAACATTTCGGTGACATCAACCGCAACATATGAGAAGTGTAACTTTAAATGGTGATTATTTGTAGTTTTCATGTAGATTAATTCAAAATAAGAAAATGGGTGTGGCTCGTCTCATTTTTTGTAAGTTTGGTATATAAAATCAATCGTTGTATCATATCTCCCTCTTTCATATTATATTATAGTATATGGCATATATAATATTATTAGCTGACCCTGTTGTTTTGCCATATACCTATGTACGTTATTTTTATGAAATTTTTTTTAAAGAAATATATTTTTGGGATTTTTTTTCTGTTTAAGAGTAAAGAGTTTGGGGGATGTAATTATAATTGATAGCTATCTGTACATCGAAAATAGTTCAATTTTTTACACTTTATTATGACGAATAAAAATAAACAAAAATTAATCTTCCAACGCAATGAAATGTGCAATACTTTTGGTCAGTACTTTTTTAGAGAATACAAACAAACTAGATGGTTTGCTCACGCCAGAATATGTCACATAAAGTTGTACGTAGTAAAAGCATGGTGTACCCAAATTTAAGCCGCAAAGAGACAACGTTTGCCCTTGTGACTTATTGATCGTCATTGCGAATGCCATTCTAATTGCAAATTGAGAGCATTTGAATTCAATTGACAATAAAATTTTACCTTTAATAATGTATTCATTATTTTTTTAATTATTACTCTTGTGCCATTACAAAGCCGTTATGGGTTCAAATTATGAAGAAAAATAACCCGACATCTAACCCATGCATTGGATAATTCACATATTTCACAAATTTTTTGCCAAAATCGTTCTTTCTGTCAGCCATCCAATTGATGATTGTCCAGAAATCGGTCGGTACTTTTATGCATCGAGTATATCCATGTCCAGCAACTTTTCTATTACCAATATTTAACAGTTGTTTTGAGAAAGTTTCGACAGACGGCTCTTGAAGTATATGAACGCACATATTTATTGTCAGTTGTACTTTTTCAACATAACGTTGAACGTGAAAGGAGTAAAAAAAGTGTCGCCAAATTGTATGCGATCGGAAGCTAATTTCATCATTCATCATTTAGTAATGGGACATTGCGAGTAACCAATTCGCCAGCGCTTCACGATTTATATCTGTGTTTATTAAATCAGATGCACTCCGATTTGGTGAACTCATACCATGACATTGCAATGATCCTCAATTGAAATCAATTCTTTATTCATTCATCGTTATGATTATCCCTGTGTAATTTAATGCAACTGCAGCAAGCATCTTCTAGCAATGCCGGTGCACATGCATCTTAAAACGTTGGATACTGTTGTCCATTTCCTTACGTATATCATGAAATGATAATGGTCCGGTGACATTAACCAACAACAGTCGCAGGAAAAAACACTCAGTCTGCCTTGGATTGACCGTATATACACGACCCAATCCTTATAGCACGATTATAAATATAGCACGAAAAATATGCGTTGGCCGATTTCGAGATGCAGAACTAAATGGTTAACTGCTATGAATTTGTTCTGTCTATGAATTTGGAAACCGAAGATATGCCAGGCAACTTCATTGGAGCTGATAAACCGGTCAATTTGGTAATTCGTTATTTCACCATTTTCATTTATTGGAGGAACATTAACAATAGTATTTTCAATTCTGAATTCGCTTCCTTTATTCACAAACTTGCAACTATATTTTATGCTCTTCATCGAACTCCAGAACTCAACATTAATATACCAGTACTGAATGTTGTATTCAGCAAAGGTGAATATGGTACCACCCAACGATTGTCAATGTCAATGTCTGCGATATCAATATTTTTGACACTAAGAAATAATGTTAAATTCACCGTAATATCAAAATTAGCCTAAGAGTTGATACGTATAACAGTCACAAATAAGACCAAATACAGGACATGGACGAAAATTGTATAGAGAGTTAGAAAAAGGAAGTGACAACGGAAGACACCAGGCTTAGCTAACTGATTGGTTGATAGAACTATACATGAATATTATATTATATTATACTACAAGTGGCCATCTATGTGCCGACTAGTGCGTTTGAATCTGCTATCCTTTATCGACTTCCAGTAAAAATTTCAGGACATTTCATCTATTGGAAATGAAGTTATTGTGTTTTAAGTGTCAGTATTTTTTTGTCATCGGTGCGAAAATGAGCTTCGAACAAAGAGCCAACATTAAATTTTGTTTTAAAATTGGTAAAACTTTTACCGAAACGTTTCAATTGATGAAACAAGTGTATGGCGATGATTGCCTATCCCGTAGCAGAGTGCACGAAACTGGTGAAAAAACGTGGTGTTTTCAATATGATCCCGAAACGAAACGCCAGAGTGCTGAATGGAATGCGCCGGACTCGCCGAAACCCAAAAAATCGCGTCTGGAAAAGTCAAAAGTGAAGACAATGCTGATTTGTTTTTATGATTCCAAGGGATTTGTAAACAAAAAATTTGTTCCACCCGGCCCAAACGTTAATGCGGTATTCTACCTTGGAGTTTTGAAGCGTTCGGTGCGCCATATTCAAGGTGTTCGGCCCGAATATCGCGAAGATGAAAGTTTGCATTTGTTGCACGACAATGCGCCGTTTCATCCATCGACGCTTTCAGCCGATTATTTGACAAAAATCACAATTTAACAATCAACCACTCCCCGTATTCACCAGATATGGGACCGTGCGACTTCTGCCTTTTCGGAAAAATGTATTTGCCAATGAAAGGAAAGCGTTATGTAGACGTGGAGGCCATTCAAAAGGCTTGCACCGGCATACGGGCGGCCATACCGGGCAACGAGCTAAAACACTCGTTCGACATGACTTGCAAAAAGGTGTATTAAGGCAGAAGGAGACTATTTTGAATAAAATTAATTGATTTTGCCGATAAAACCATTTGTCCTGTCTTTTTTTTTAAGTCCTATTTACTTTGGAACGCACCTTGTACAATTATTATTTTCGATTGCCATCTTGTGGATCTGTGGATTGAACGGAATTATATAAAAATTGAGGGGTTGAATCATTTAAAAATAAAATCAAAACATTTTATCTAAAAAGGAAAAAAATAACAATATTGGGGGTGGACACCCATAAGTTTACGTTGCACTATGGTATATCTAATATTTATCAGTTAATTTCGCTAAGATATTTTACATATTGACTGATATATATGGCACAAGGCCTACCGCAAGTTTGATAATCTTATGTTAGGTATATGAGGATAGTATTTACCCGATTTTATCTATTTTTGAAAATACAACATAATATTCACAGAATAAAATTATCCCTAAGTTTCACCAAAGTACCTCACATACCGTCACCAACACATAGTTAAATGGGGACTAGGGCAAGTTTTCACCCGATTTTACTCATTTTAGGCGCAAAGATATATTTTTACTGGGAAGTTCAAAATTTTTATATTAGGTATATGGGGCTAAGGGAAATATTGACCGTATTCAACCCATTTTTCACATTCAGATATACTGGTACTATCATCAGGAAAGCATTATCTCCCAATTTCAATTGTATATTTTACACATTGACCGATATTTTCGGTAAAAAGTCAACTAGATTCGTTGTGCCAAATTTGGGTTTTGTATCTTAACTTACGGCTTTGTTATAGCACCTAATACGTTTTCGGTTAATGGCGTGTTGTTGGCGGGGTAGTCCGATTACGCCCATCTACGAACTAATTTTTACTTTTCTGCCAGTAAACTTGTATACCTAGTTTCATACAAATATGTTAAATTTTTCTCAAGTTACAGCTTATATAGACAAACGGACGGACGGACAGACAGATATACCCCTATATCTGTTTCAATTAGTTTTAAGTGATAAAAAAAATTGTTAGCTGAACAAAACTATTATTCTCTGTAGCATCGTGTTGCAAGAATATAAAAAAGGATCGCGAACGCATTCGCAAAAATCCCCTTAGAAAACCGAAAATGACGTCAACGTAAATGAATATATCGACCAGATCAAAGTCAACACTTATTCGAGATGATACCCACATGAAAGTCTACCGTCGGTCAACTGGTCATCCTGTGGTGCGCGGTTAACGGCAATGAAAGAATCCTGTTTACAATTGAAAAAATTTTCACTATTAAAGAAGTTTTTACTAAGCAAAACAACAAAATATACGCACGATGCAACGACAAAATCCTCTATCGTCCAGCTGATGTAATGAGATACTGAGGAGTTTCCTGTAAAGACGCTACATCCCTTCAATTCTGTGAAAATGGGGTTAAAACTTAGGTAAAATTGTCTAAGCAAGATATGTTAGGAGGCGTGGTAAAGTAGTTAAGCAATAGTCTCTTCGATGGAGAAGTTAAATCTTCCAGTAAGATTCTGCCCTCATACAAAGGGGAAACCCCACCCAACAGTGGCTTAACTGATCAATGGTCGAATCGTTTGTGGGCTTAGCAAAAAGTAACTATTTCTATAAAGTTTAGTACATCGTTCTTTTAATATATGCAATACTTAATAAAATTAACTTCGTTAAGAAATGAATTGTATTTTCATTTGAACTGTGTCTGAACTTGCAACAGAACTTATGGCAGAACTAAATAGAAAATCCTTATCGCATGTACCATAGTATTCCTAATATGCCGTCATCCCATTCGAAAAACGGTTGGAACTAAACTTT